GACATAAATGGCCTCGCCGTTTTCGCAGGGATCGTTTCCGCATGTTGCAATTTAATCTTAGCAAAAAGGATCGAGTACAGTTACATAAACGTATTGTCTCGGGGCAAATATCGCCCAAAGAGATATCGTTGATGTCTTCTACCGACCTAGCTGACGAAGGGACGAAGCAAAGCATCAAGATGGCCGAGAAAGAAGCACTGGAGCATTCTATCCTGCAGAAGACGACTGCCCCGCATGCTAAAATCACACACAAGGGATACGAAGACATAGAGGACGTGCAGGGTGAGCTGGCTGTTGAACGTGAGCGTGAACTCCAGGAGGAAATGAAACGGGAGGGAATGCGTGCCGCCCGCCGCAAGCGCGCCTTGTCTGTGGCGACGCACGCTTCTGGGTCTGTCCCGCTTGAGTCTCCGTTATCACCAATAACTCCGCAAATTGCGGCTGCGCGCGCATGGGGGGCGTCGCCCTCGGCGCCTAATAATATTGCTCCCCAAGATATTATAGCATCGGCGCCTCCGCCGGTCGTAACTCAGACCCAATTTCAGCCTCAGCTTGAAGAGCACACGGTGGTTACAGACGCCCCCATGCCAGAGCCTGAACTCAATCTGGCTGACTTCATAAATATAGATGAGGATGAAGGCGTTGCAGAGCCTGTCGAGATGGATGCTGTGAGCAAAGGTGCTACAGAGTCTGGCAAGGCGCTCTCCTCGCCTTTTTCCGGGATGCTATCACCGCCAGGCCCGCAGGCAAGTCCACCTGTAGCAGATTCACGGCCTCCGGACGAGGCGCTCTCCGCAGTGCCCAAGGAAGAACCGCCAACGTTCGATATAAAAGCGTTGTGGTCCTCATCGAACGAAGCAGCTCCCGTTCCCCCCTCCCCTCCCCTTCCATTGGTCCCAGCAGAGCCTGTACCCGACGTCGCGATGGAATCCGCGGACACTTTACGCGAGACGGACGATGCTGAGATTGACATGATTCTGGACGATACAGCTGGTCCAGATGGCGCGCATGACATTGACGACCCGATGGAAGACCCTTTTGAGGGCAAACCTTCCGTCTGGACAGGCAAAGTATGTTTTTTTTTTTTTTTCAATGATTTCAGATCATTATTTTTGACAAATTTCTGTTGCAGATTATTATGCCTCTGGACGCCAGTATGTCTCAAGAGGCGTCTGTAGTCACCAGACAAATAGCTGGTCATTCGATGGCGCATGATTCGTTATTATGGCGAACGTTATTCCCCTCGGATGTCCTGAGAATCGATGGGCGTGTTCCCGTCGAAAGTTCAGCCAAGTATCTCGCGCAGATGAGGATGAATGAGTCCAAAGAACTCATAGGTGTGGCGTTCAGCATGGCCTCGGAGCACGATACTGCGTTCCAAATGATCACAGAGTTGCTGATTGGCAAAAAGTGAGATTAATCCCGTCCTCTACTTGATTTTGGTTAATCGGTTTCTCTAGTCGACATGGCTTGATTTTCCCATGGGGCCAGCATCCAAAAGACACCAGCCCTGGGCGGGAACTCTATATTATTCCATTGCTATCTTCCGACCCCGTCCCGGATTACGTTCAACTGTTGGACTCATTCCGACTTCCCCACTCCCGCTCTTGTAACTTCCTGATCGGTGTTTTTGTCTTGAATAAGGGCAAATTGAAGTCGCCGTCCATACCTACGCTTTCTCCTTCGTTCCCTCTGCCATTCCCACTTGTACATTCAACCGCGCCTCCCTCAATTTATACTGATAGTTCAATGGCATCGAATACAGCTCCGCCGCTGTTCAACCCCACTGAAATTGCTTCAAAGGTTGCCTCGCTCAATCCAGAGCAAATCCAAGCGATGCTGTCAGCATTGTCCGCGTCCAACATCAGTCTTCCCATTCCCGGCGCTGCTGCAGCGCCTGGCTTGCCGCCACCGGCATTAGTGCCACCACTGGCACCCATGCCGTATCCCAATATGTCAATACCCAATGCACCGCCACAAGCTACTCCCATACCATGGAGTGACACCAGCGTTGGTGCTCCGCCGTACGATCAATTCCGTCCGTACTCCGCCCCGTATCCACCTTCCAGGCAATATCAACCTCCGCCGTCCAACCAATATGATGAATACAATCAGAACCACCAAGGGTCGCCGTCCTCAGGTCCATATCCTCATAGAGACGAATATCAAAAGAAACGCGGATACCACGACGGCAACCGTGACAATGAAAGTGGGTGGCGCGGCCGCGGCAGGGGGCGTGGCGGCAGGCCGTTTAGCCGTGGTAACTTCAGGGGACGAGGGCGGGATCGCGACGACAGAGGTCGTGACGGTGACTCTCATGGAGAGACACCAAGGAAGCCGGGCGGATCCCGACGAGGTCGCGGTCGGTGACGAGTTATGAAAGTGTTGCCATCGCTCTGCGATGTTTATATGTCTAGTTTATCCCTAATTTCGCCAAGTGTTCAAAGAGTTTTTCAGCAAATTATTTCTATATGTAGTATTATTGGTTCTATGGGCTTCACTTTGTCTCTATATGACGCCGTAATAGTTTCATGTGTTGTCGAAGAATTGCGATTATAAGAGGAATAACCCAAATGTTTTGTGTGGCATACATGGTAACACATTAGTTTATGGGAGAGATAACATCATGCATACGTGTGTGTGCGTATTCTAGGTAACGGGCGGCGTTCCGTAGTAGTAAATTCTGTATTTGTATCAACAAGAAATAACGAGGAACCAGCTTCTGAAGACATGGAAATTCCTAGCTCAAACACTGCCTGCAGTCTTTCGACGACGTGTGGCGGCCTTGCCACCAATTAGCTCGCTGGAACTGCACCCAAAGCCGTCCTTGAACGGCATTTTACAGGTTCCAACCAAGTCATCCTCATCGAAAGGCTGGGAAGCGGTTTGGCTAGATGGATCCGACGGCAAAGCGTGTTCATCACCGTCCTGCAGCTCAGGCGAGTTGCGATGTAGCTCAGGGCTTATCGTCACATGCCCGACACCATACTCGGAAAAGCAATGTTGAAGACACTCTTCAATCTTTTCCCATTCCTGCAAAGACATTCCGAGCGCTACGCAAACATGCACCGACGCAAGAACAACGCTGAGCAAATATCAACACAAATAGGCAATAAAGACGGGCCACCCTCACGATTGCGAAAGATGCCAGACGTGAAGGTCGTGAATGGCCAGTACACCGGGAATCTGTCCGGATTAGGGAAAGTGAATGGACATGCCATCTATTTGGGTCACCTTGACAAGATCGTCCTTCACGTTCTCCAAGTCCAGGTCAGTGGGAGCAGCTTCCAGTAATATACGACTGGACTTGATGGCTGCCAAAAGTGAGTTAATGAGGAATCGAAGAGTAGTAGCCTGCGGCGCACTCAATGGTATCGCACTTGCGAATATAATCATGGAAATGAGCAATGAAGCTGCGGGATCAGCATAGTAACGATTGGGGGAATCTACTTTCCAAATAATGAGAGCCGCCACGATGACGCCGATGTCTGCATACGTGAATAAAGCCACGCTTGTTAAACTCGTGGATCCTGAAAACTCACTGTTGACTGCATCGCCACACAAATGGATGAGGACGCCAAGTAGTCCTAGATTGCGGTGAGCATGTGCAGAGGGTTGCACTAGAGTGTGATGGTGACCCTCGTGCTGCAAATATAGTAAGATGTTCGCCCACCATTCAAAAAAAAAAAACAGCAAGTGACAGACCACAATGCGAACTTCTTCAGATATAACGTCGGCATCCTGGACCGACCTTTCATGCCCTGACCCTCCATGGTCGTGGCCATGGTGATCTGTTCAAGACATAAATCAAGAATGTCAGCCCGACGAAGCAGACTATCCAGACCGTGAACGACAAGAACACTAAGAACATTCAGACTTAAGCCGACGCAACCAATGATCAAGACAAGCACGGGAGTCTTGATAGTTTCGATATTGATGAAACGTCCGATGGATTGCAGAGCGATAGAAAGCGCGAGAGCGAGAAGAAACACGCCATTGAAAAAGGCACCTGTAGGGGAAGAAAGACAAATCAGTGCCCGAACAAAGCCACCTCAAGGAATACACTGCGCCAGCCGTATACTTGTTTCTCGCCAAGTACATAGCTGTAGATAGCTGTGCATGCACCGTGCACGACGGTGACCGCGTGATCAGTCTCTCACCGATCAACTCTCCCCCAATATGAACAGCGACTTACCCACGAGCTCTGCTCGGTGGAATGCAAATGTAAAACCCGATTTCTGTAGCCCGGAGCTGAGAAGATAAACATGACCAATTGTGAAGGACAGACAGCTTTGCCTCGTTCTTGGAACTAGAAATAAATCATTTAGCTGTTAATCAGTGGTATGATGGCGTTCGATACACACGTATGCTGCAGTAAATGCAATGGCACTGTGAAAGCAACAAGGATCATCGTGATCTTTGTACACGCTCTGCGGTCATGTCTACGCACTATGCGACGATATCCTGGAACGGTAGCTTGTTAACGAGTTTCAGCGGAATAGTAGGATGAGTGATCACATTTAAGTAGTGAAACTGGTTGTAACAGGGCGCAGAACGATCAGGCAAAGTGTCAATCTTGTCAATTGGAAAATGCCCCTCACAGCATCCGCGATTAAAGCCAGGCTTTTTGTACGAAATCCCACTATCCGGTGTGCGAACAAAGTGACAAATGAATGTTCCAGACACAAGGATAGCTGCAAGATACGAACCCGCAATCTCCGCAACAAAAAAGGAAAAGCTGATAGCCAGCACAATTCCCAGACGAGTTGTGTTCTTCAACATCACGGTCGTCACAGCGAGGGAGAATGACGTGTGCGCCCAGGCCGCCGGTCGCGTTGATCGGCGGAGCCGCTTTGCCGCATGTCAAAACGGGAAATCACCGCGATGAGTCATCGACATGTACATTTAGCCCAGATCAAATCCTTCCTTCACTGCTCGCTGTGGAACAGATCATCGTCCATTGTATAATATGTAAATGCAAAAACTAGATGTTTATTTGACGACGCCGGCAGGATTCGAACCTACGCCCACAAAGTGGAAGTGATATAGTTTGCTTGTTCTAATCAATCGCCTTAACCACTTGGCTACAGCGCCTTCTATTCCTAGGCCAAGGACTTACGATAGATCAACCAGGCTGCGGCGACAAATGCTTTCATGAGTCCGATGAGCAAGGCAACGCGGGGTATACTTGGATCGCACCGTCGATCGGTTTTCTCGTGTTCGAAGACTGCACTCACTCCCCTAGTACACCCGACACATGTTCAAAAGTAGAATATACACTCTGAGAAGATAAATGGGCACGATCAGAAACGCGTCAACCAAACATAGACGAATAAATTGACATACCCGCTCAAATCTATTGTACATGTTTGGTTGGTTTAGTACACTTTGGTTTTCCGACATTGCCTGAGTTTTATAGTTTCCCCTTGTCTCCAAAAACATGTTCTTCTCCGAGAACCTCCGAAAATGCTGCTGCTAGTTCGCTGAGCATGTCCTGTGTGACAACACCGCGTCCGTGTATGGCGAATGCGCGACGACTCGCTGTTCGAGTGACCATGCTTCCGCCCACAGCCGCAAGCAGCGGAATACGAGTGAAAGGCAACGATCCATCGCTGAACAAAGAGGTATGACAATTTAAAGTAATCAGCATTTTTTGATGAGCAGCAGAGTTGTACACACACCCAAATGCCCCGTCCTCATAGCACTTTCCCCAAGCCAAGAACGTGCCGACAGCGCCACTGAGGATGTCGCCCTGACCACCGCAACGTTTCATCCCTCCAGTAATGTCGACCTCAATCTGCTCACGCTGGCCGTCCCTGACACCTTTAACCTTGGTATTATCTACGGCCACTATATCGTGTGCGCCCTTCTCGAGGACGGTCACACCACCAAGCAAGCGGCTGAGTAGCGCTGCCTTGTCGTTGCTGGGCGTATCAGGATCGCCGCCAACATCTTTCAGTAAGCGGCCGAACTCGACCACGTTAGGTGTGACGACAGCTTTCGGGTAGCCGCGCAGCGAGTCGGGGTCCTGTCCGATCATGTAGAGCCCGTCGGCATCGACTACAACGTACATGTCCCGTGCCCGCGCAGCGGCAAGCGCGGCCTTCGCGTAGCGCTGCATGTAGCTTTCCCGCCCGAGCCCCGGGCCAATGACTAGTACATGTAAGCGAGCGAGGATGGCGTCCAATTCTGGTCGTACAATGTCGATTGTTGAGTCCTCACGAAGGATGGGGTGGACGATGAGATCGGGCGAGTAGGATTTGATGGCGCCTGCAGCGGTGGGAGAGCATATTACATGCGAAAGATCCGCGCCCTGATGCAGATAGATATGAACTTCATTGCGTCGGAGGAGCAGCAATAGACGTACGAAACGCAGAGCAGAGAAAGACGCGAAGAACGGAGCACCCGTATAGCTGTTCAATGTGAATTGACGTATATCAATAGCTGCAAGGATAAACTCACTTACTCGAGAGCGCCTCCCAGCACGCCGACACGTCCTGTCAGTTCATGATTCGTGCTCGTCTCAATCTACTCGATGGCAAACTGCTTCGGAAACGCGCACCGGATTGGCCTTTATGCAGAGTTCCATCGAGAGGTGGGATGAGACGCTTTATTTGCTCGAGTATTGTTCGAGATACTCCCATCTTCACTCACACAACTTTCAGAATCGAAGAGAAATCAGCGGAGCGATTTCCATCCCAATGACATTCGGCACGCCGCGGCACAGTCCAGGCGAAGATGACGCAACCATGGACGGGCAGTGAATCTATTGATCGCCGTTTCTGATCGCCGTTTGAGAGTGTCCACCCGAACGACCTGCATCCGGCGCTGAGCGTTCTTTCCGTGTTTCGCTCTTGCATAATATAAGTCTCTGCGTTGCTGCGAGACTTGGTCAAATATGGACCAGGTAGTTCATGAATGGTATGGCTGTGATAGTCTAAATAACATGCCACTCTTTCTAGGATTCCTTCCGTAAACTTCTCCAAACACCTGTTTCCACCCAGCAAACGACATTGACCTCCGCCTCGACCAGCCATAGCAGCAAGCTGTGATTGCCATTTGTGTCTCTCGTATATTCCCCATTTACGTGTACGGTATAGAAAAGCAGGAGATGCATCAAAACCTTTATTCAAGCCACGAAAGGCGAAGAAGGCTACCGATTCGGCGTACCGCGATCGGGCTGCCGAGCGACGCGAGGGCGAGGGAAATGATTTCGCAGGAGTAAGTAATTGCGGTCGATATGCGTTACAGTGTGTAAGACGTGCTCTGAAACAAGGTTGAAGCATTGCTAGAAGATTTCGAACGCCGCGCCGCAGATGAAGGCCAGGATCAGAAGACGGTTCGTTCGCATTCTCTACACCACCGCTTTCTTCGTCTCATGGATCAACCCAGATCGAACAGCAGCGTCGCTATCTCGGAGGCGACAGCGAACACTCCGTGCTCGTGAAAGGTCTGGACTTCGCTTTGTTGCAGCAAAACAAGGCTAAAGCGGCGGCGTTTGAGACGGACGACGATGCCATGCTCGAAGAGGCGTTCTCCGCCGCTCCGGAACCTGCCGCTACTACCACTGCCTCAAGAGGTCCAAAGAAGCGCACGCGCGACGAGCTACTCGGGGCTTTACGCAAGGGCAAGGAAGGCGACGGCTCTGTAGCGTCCGCGGCGGACACGAAGCTAAATAACAAGTTCAAGCCCATTGGGTTTAAACCTATTGGTACTGAATCGGACGCTATAAAGCCGAAGAAGAAGAAGAAAAAGAGAGCCGCCGAGGGCGAGGATGGAGGGCGGAAGACAAAGAAGCGGAAAGTTGACGAGTCCAACACTGTCGCGGGTGTCCACACGAGTGCAGCTATGCCGCCGAAATCACCCTCAGTGCAAAGCTCCCAACCGAAAACCAAAGCTGCTGAGCCTGAATCACTCGCAGAAGATGTTGCCATTTTTGCGGATGCAGGGGATTACGACGGGCTCGGGCTGCTGGACGACGATGCAGACAATGTCGATGATGAAGACACGGAACCGCCACAGCGTCTAGGAAAGGATGTAAAGGACGAGTCGGCACCAAGTATATCGCAGCGCGGTCGCTGGTTCACGCCGAGCCCCGAGTCCGAGTCCGCAGTGCGCCAATCGCTCAGTCCTGGACCTTCGACGAATCGTGTTGGCGCTTCGTAAAATCTGGAAGACACTGATCCGTCAAGAAAGTCGGGTCACGCTGCGCCAGAAGAACAGTACCCCGAAGACGATGGCCAGCCCGTCCGGCTAGTTCCGCTCGCATCGTCGGCACTTCCATCGATCAAGGACTTTCTAAAGATGGACGACGCCGTCAATTCACACCAGAAGAAGAAGCAGCGGAAAGAGAAGAAAAAGAAGGCTGGCGGTGGTGGAGGGGATGCGAAGGTGGATCGCGATTATCAGAGGTGAGTTATCCTTTCGTTCATGCGTGATGGCTGTCGCTGTGTTGTAGTTTTGACTTGATTCCTCCCACCATTGTCCAGGTTAAAGTCGTATACAGAGAAGAAAGCAGCTGCAGGTACATCTTAAATACTACATACATTATTGAAAGGATATAAGGGGAATGTATTTATGCACCGTTCGCGAACAATGAATATAACAGATGTCGCCCGGCTGAGCTCATCACTCGCCCCACTCCAGCCGCAATTGTTTATCATTCTCACCGCGGATCGCACTCTCAACAGCCTCTGCAAACTCCCGCAGCCTCAATATATCTTTACTTGTCTCCTGACCGTGAGATGAGCCCGGGAGCTCTGGCCTTGTGAGACCGAGGGCCCGCTGTAACGCTTCCTCTCTCGCTGTGCCGCGCATTTTATCTATTTCCCGTATTTTCTCGCGCAACTCGGGGTGGGCGGCTAAGAGGGACCGGATGTTCTTGGACATGGCTGATAGTGCAGGAACGAACTAGTCAAGGGAGAGCTGGACAGCATGGATAAACGGGTAAGGGGACGTACCGACTGCCTCATATTGCTGGAGCGACAGGGGTTTTGGGTCGTCGCGCTGGAGGGGATCGGGGAACTCCGATGCCTCGGGTACGTATGGCCACTTTAAGGATGACAGAGGTTTGAGCGGGGAAACCAGTGTCTTATCAAATTGTAGAGATTGTTGACGGGGTGCGTTCTCGACATCATCTGCTTGCCATTGTAGGAATTAATTACACAGAAGACACATTACACATACACATCACAATTTGACGTACCTGAAGCGGCACTGGGAAGTGGCATGGCTTTTTGCTCTGAGTTTGTGGCCTGGCAAACCTCTGGCGGAATAGCAACGACGTTAGAATGTAGATACGCCTGGGAGAGCTGCGCTACCTTTGTGTGACTTGAAACATGGTACAGAACAACTGGGTGGTTTGAGATTCGTTCAAAATAAGATCATAGGCTAAGTCGTCAGTATGCAGGTGGCATCCTGACTCCTGAGTGCTCACTATCGAAGCGTACAGCGGGCGCATGTGTACTTGGACTCTGTAAGATTGCACACTTGACATGGTATACACCTTTTCTGAGGCATATTGTTTGGCAAGCAAAGTTACCGTTCTGAACGATGGGTGGACAACAAACACGATCGTGACTCCTTCCGAGTCCGAGTTTGATCGCCGTTCGAATGATCGCCAGCACGGGCACGTGGCGGCGAAGCGCCTTATTCAGGATTCGAGAGCATTCGGACTTTTCTCTTGCTCTATATTTCCATGAATTTCGTTCCGCTTCTGCTTGTTTTTGGATTCAAAAACTGAGAGAGCATCGCTGTCAGGGAACACCCGAGTTACTTGGTAGCACCTGACGCTGTGGTTGCCAGAATCATGCCCGTTAGAAACGTCAAGCAAGGATTCGAGTCCGCGCAGGACGTTGCGACATATTCACAGATATCGTTCCCCTGCTCGGATGGCGACTCAAATACCTGGCCCTTGAACGTTCACTCAAATCGCGATGCTGATGGGCAGGTCAACTATATGCGTGTTGTCGATGACCTCGAAACCATTCATGTCAAATATAGGAAGGGCGTCGCAAATGCCATTGCTACATCATTGGATTTTCCAGGTAGGTGGCTGTCACTGTGTGGTTTTCATGTAAAGCCCATGTTCATTG